ATAATGTTATACTTACGTCATCGTAAAGCCATCCATATTGTCGATCTGGCCAGTCCTTTCTTCGGTGATGAGTATTCTGTAGAAATCAACAGTGTCTGTTGCCCTGCCCAATGGGAGATGCCTAACAGATAAACACAAGTTAATATACATAAATAGTGTAAAACAAGCCGTAATTAACAAGGTTAAAAGGTATAGAGGGTCATACTTGAATGGGGCCATCATTTCCTTCAGTTTCTGCAATTTGGCCGGATCAACTGGTGACAGAGGATCATATATTCCAGCTGAAGGCACACAATTCTTCCTCATGCACGTCAGTCCGTTGTCTCCGATATGAGGAAATATCCGTTCAGAGACATTAGAGAGTGGATTCAATGCACTCCCATCCGGAGACAGCTTGACACTCTCCTTCCTTAGAGCGTTGATTCTTTCAATCCTTATAAGTTCCTCTTCATCATCTTCAGACTCAGGTAACGTGCGTTCGTCACCAGCTAGCAACTGGTCTGTGACATCATATACGTCATTGTCACCTTTAATGCCAGCCTTTTCCAATACTTCCTCATCTTTGTCGGGGACATCAGCAGCCTCTTTCTTCTCATCAAGAGCAGCTCCTCCCTCCGCCGGAGCAGTAGCTAGTTTTCGTACCACCTTTTTAACCGTTGTAGAAGAAGGCTTCCTACCTCTTCTACGTCCGACTGCTGCCTGAACTTTGGGGGCCTTATCTTTGGCGGGCTTATCCTTGCCGGTATTCTTCTTTCCCGCTGCGATTTTCTCTGTGTCAATTTTCTTGGAGCGTAATACCCTAGTATTATTAGGTAACGTTTCTATGAAATCAATAGCAGATTTGCCATCAATGACATTAGCAAATTCCTTTTCCAGATTCTTACTGACACCAGCAAATACCAATGTCCTTCTCAACATCGACAATATCCTTCGCCTGCATAAACGTACCGATAACTCAGCCATAAGATAAAGATAACTCGGCCGTTAGGTGATTAATATAATAATAACTCAGCCGTAATGTGATTAAGATAATGATAACTCAGCCGTAATATAATGATAACTCAGTCGTAAGGGGAAAACTCAGCCATTATGTGATCAAGATAGTGAAAACTCAGCTACTAGGTATTAGATAATAATAACTCAGCCGCAATGTATTTATACATATGTCTGGCACTGTTAGCTTACCAGAGGACTAGTAACAGACTGGTTTTGTGGAGGTTTCGCATGGACCTTTTGGTGTTGCTTTTCTTTTTGATTCAGCAAAGGTTGACTTGCGTCGGCTTTTCGGGAGGTTCTGTTTCTTTGAAGGCTGAGTTTCCTCACCGTTTTCACCAGATTTCCCTACCCCCTGCTCAATTGCATTCAGACGCTCTTTCATCTGTTTCAACTCCTCTCCATATATTCAAACTTTTCATCCATCCTCGCTTCTACTCTATCTCCAATCACCTTCTCCATATTTGAAGACACTTCTTTTGATGCTTGTATCAACCGGTGTCAAACCTTGAGTTTAATTGCTTCACCAAATCACGACTGTTTTAACAGACCACATCTTCCAGAACATCGTCCTCCGCACTACCAACCTGGAACACATACACAAAAACGCATAAACAAGCTACCCAAACATCACATCAAATATAAACTCACTACATACCATATCATTTACCTTTTCTTTCTTCTTCTTCTTCTTCTTCTTCTTTTCTTTCTGCATCTCCTTCACCAGATTCAACACCATCACTGTTGATCACATCCTTGACATTGTGGACTTTCTGCCTCTTTGCAGGAGATTCAGAGTCACCCGCTGCATTAGAATTTACATTTTTCCTCTTCTTCTCAGTCTTCTTCACATCCCAATATCCGTTAACAAACCTATCCTCATGTATATCTCGGATCAAATTATCAAGTGCTGGGTCCTCTTCTTCATCTGGCCACGTATGAAATAGCTCTCTGACATCATCCTTCATAACCAATTTACTCACACGCAGCTATAACATAAGAGATTATAAAACCCATTAGTAAATCAATAATTATAACTCAGCCATCACTAACCAACACTAATATAACTCAGCCAGCGCATAAATCATAACTCAGTCATCAAAACGATAACTCAGCCATCACAAAATTTAACTCAGCCATTACTAAACATAACTCAGTCAGTAACTATCAGTCATCAAAAACGATAACTCAGCCATCACAAAATTAACTCAGCCATTACTAAAACATAACTCAGTCAGTAACTATCATAACTCAGTCAGTAACTTTCATAACAGAGCCTAAACCTTACCTCACCATGCGCTTTGATATCTTCAGCAATGGTCAATTCCATTGTTTTACGTGTACGGTTTCCACCCCAACGAAGCAACGGTATCTCATCCTTGTTGACTACTCTCCCATATCGCTCTCCAAGCATTTGACTGAATCATACGCCAAAGCCTGTAACACGTAAACCATACCACTGACGGTGTACGTCTTTCCAACAGGCCTCAACATCTTTATAGAATTAACCAGGGCTTCAAATGCTGACCGACCCCATGGATAAGTGTTCATGGCTTCGTCATCAAAAACTCTTTTCGCACTTTCAAATGGTATTCTAGAGTTATGATGCAAGCCATACAGTCCAATGGCTTGAAGAGTCAACAGCCCCAACCACTTACGCTTTTCAGGAGTCCATGTCCTGCACACTAGTAATCCTGCCCTCAGTTCATCTAACTTTGGACCTTCACCACCAGGCACATTCAATTCACTGAAGAACGCTTTGTAGTCAGCTTTAGGTTCAAACTTTTCTGTAGGGATTGAACCTGTGTTTAACCCCGTGATATGACCAAATTCGTTCAAGCCAAACCTGATAGGTTGACCACCAACTAGAAACCAAATCTCCTCTTGTGTATTCTTAACTGTCTACACAGTAGAAAATGTACAGTCTTACCAGACCACACGAATTGGCTTTCACTAGCTTAGCATTATTCCAATAGGTGACCCCTTCAGTTCATTCCACGCATCTTGTCCTATTGATTCTATAATCACAGGGACATCTCCCATCTTGATATTGTGATTTAACAATTTATTCTCCAGAATAGACTCCCCTTCTGCGTAAAGTCTTGGAGGGTAATCCCTTGGTTGTTCTTCAGAAATAACCTCAGCCATCTGATAAACCATAAATCAGCCGTAAGCATACAGTAACTCAGTCACAACATAAAACAAACTCAGCCACAGTTGAGCAGATAAACCATAACTCAGTCGTAAGCAGAGTAACTCAGCCACAACGTAAACAAACTCAGCCACACCATAAAACAAACTCAGCCATAGATGCATTGATAACATAAATCAGTCTAAAGCAAACAATAACTCAGCCATGGAATCGAATAGATATAACAAATTAGCCACCATATGAAAATCAACGTTGGCGAAAATCAGCTGTAATAAGCGTCGATAAAAACCCTCAATTTCTTCGCGATAGTTTTCGGAAAAGTTTCTATCACGGAAATCACTCGCTATTGAACTTAGATGCGGGAAAAATGTCGGAAAATCCAAAATAAAGATTCGACACATACCTTAAACAAGTTGAGTTGAGACGAAATGGTCCCGACTTGAGGTGAGGCGACGAAGTAAAAGGTCCCGACTTGAGTAGAGACGAAATGCGACGAGAGAGTTAAGAGTTTCGGCCGGAATTAGGGTTTCTTAGTGTTAGTCGGAATCGCGTTTCCGTCGGAGAAAGAAACAGTTTTTTTTTTTTCGGAGACGAACAGTGACAGAGAGGGAAATCGAAAGGGTTCTCTTAATGACGTTAATGACGTGGCTTTAATTTGTTTTTCTTTTAATGACGTGGATTAACATAATTTTCGTTAATCATTTCTTAATTAAAAATGGATTAAAAAAAAAAAACTAATCAAGGGTGTAATTGTAATTACACAAAGACGCTAAACATATGAGTAATTTTTAAAAAATGTATGATATTCTAGTATATTTGAACTTTTTGGTTAACATCTGAGTAAATATTCTCTTAGATTTCAGCAAATCATACGTAACGTGTCATGTCATGTCAAGTCTTTGGTTTAACTAGCCGTTTAATAAGTCATGTCATGTCTTCATTGATTGGCTTGCTTCAAATTTTAAAGAATGACAAATGAGGTTTCTTTAAAGAATTATCAATTGTCATTTGTCATTCTTTAAAATTTGAAAGCAAGACAATCAAAATGAAGCAAAAAAAAACAAGAGGTATAAGTTTTATAAAGTTGGTCTCTTTCACATGATAATTGATAATTCTCTTCATATGTGGTAATGGGAAAATGATCAAATATGTGTAATTGTTCTACGTTTTGTGCCCATATGGAAATAGTTTGTTTGTAGAGTACTATTATCAGTTTTTTTCTAAACAATGTAACATTTTGTCCGTGTCATAGTAGGAACAACAAAATTTTACAACTAATCATTGTCATATGATTATGCAATTTGTTGATAGAAAATGAACTTTTGTGTGTAAAGCATTGGTCATAAGTAAAAGGATATGAATAATTGCTATAAGCCATTCAATTAAAGAAGAAGAAGAAAAAACGTGGTTGTCGGATTAACATAAAAGATTTTGTCCTTGAGGATGATTCCAAGGACAAAGCACAAGGAAGAATCAACAATAGTATAACTAAGACTAATTCTAATAGCAATGATAACAAAAGGTAAAAGCTGCTTAATGTGTAGAGGGTTTTAGTATTTAAATGACTGATTATATCAAATTTAAACTATGAAACTATGATTGGATTCTTGCTCAACTTTTCCTGTCCACTCTAATGATTCATTGACTTCAAGTAGAACATTTCCATAGTCCAAATTTATTGGCCTACTACTATTTATCATAAAAAAAACACAACCATTCAAACACATTCAGGTTTCTTCGATTACAAGTCTAGAAACGTGACACGAGCTATTTCCATTACTATTACCATTACAAGACCATACCCACTTTTAAGTGACTACATAAACATATACATAACATTCAACGGACCCGACTATATACGTTTTACCATCTATTTAGTAGAACTCGCGATCAGGAAGGGATGCGGTGCAATGAGTGTCCATATGTAGAGTACGGCTGTAACCCAACCGGTGCATATCTTGACCCAGACCGAGGTCCATCCCCAACATCGATCAGAGTCGCACTCTCTGTGAGTCAGTCCATCCCGAGAGAAGCATTGCAGCGTACATTCGCAAGCGCAAAGATGATATGAAGAAGGAAGTTGAGTAACTCACAGGCCGTGCTCTGCTTCACCACTCTTCTTCTCCCGTCCTCGGGGTCCTCTAACAATGACTCCTTCACACCTGCAAATAACGTTTCCAGCAAATAAGAAGAAATTCCGAGTCTAGTTCAGAATTACTATCACAAAACCTAAAACCCAGTGCCAGACGTATTGAAGAGATTGGTGAAGTACCTGATCTGGGGGAAGATGGTGGTGAGAGGAATGTGGTGGAAGAGCCGCTCGGAGGGCGGAGTATAGAACCGAGAGAACCGTAGTGAGCATTCCGAGGATGAGGGTACTTGCGTTCACTGCCTTGGATTTGTTAAGTCCATTGCAAAACATAGTCATGCGGTCGCTAGAGAGACCCGTGTAACAGACATAAGCACAGTAAACCGAAATAACTGATGCCGGTAAAAGACTGCCGTTCACCGCAGGATGTAAAGCAATAATAGCAAAAACAAAGGCCAAGATCATCGGCACAACGATGAAAAAAACATTAAGTCCACAATCCTGACCAGATGGGTTGAACCAGATGAACAGGATTCCTGAGAAGGCATTGTAGCAATGTAACACACGATTGATATAAACAGAGCGATGTACCTGCACAAAGAATATCATTAGTCAGATATGATCATAATCAAACTTCAACAAAAAAAAAGCCCGAGACAGAAGAATGGAACAAACACATGACAAATTCATAGAAGAGATGTTAAGCATACCACTTTTTTTCATCTTTTTTCGACCCATGAATCATTCCGTATGTGTAGCATCTAACAATAAGACCACTTGAACCAACAGAAACGCTCCAGCACCAAACTTTGACAAAGTTCCTGAAAGAAATGAGCAAGCACAACGATTAGCCAAGCATTAATGGTTTCACTTTTTTACAAAGATTAAAAATCCACAACTTATAAGTCTCAATCTTTTAGCAGATAGAAACAGGAAAGGAAGAATTCCATCAACTTATTTTTATACTTGCAGCTACACCAAAGCATAATGAAAAATCACACAAATTGTCAACCCGCCCGATTCAAGCTCATCAACTATCCATGATGAGATTATAGCAATGGATTTTGCAGACCAGTAAAATTCCAATAACATAAAAAGAACACGATGAGATAATACCATATGTGTGAAATCTTGAGGAGCAAAGAAAACTTACCATAGATTGAGACGATAACATTTGGAACAAAAAACATGAGGACAACAAGCAAAAACCAGGCGATCATCTTCAACCCACCCCATCCACCATGGTGCCATGAGTCACGCCTGGTCTTCTGGTCTTCACACCAATCATGATCAAAGCATAATATAGCAAAGAAAGGAAATTCCCAAAGCTCACACGAAGAACAGCTTGCTGCTGATACCATTCTTTGGTAAATGAATCGGATGTGTTTATCCCTGTTTGTCAATCAAAACCAAAACGGAGATTTGTATCAACAGGCGATGACAGTTCCTTTTCCAACACTCAAAAACTCTAACTTAGATCAAGCAGGTATAACACAAAGCATAAGCAGACGCAATTTCAAATCAAACTAAGATTTCTAATGTTCTAGTGCAATTATCAATCTGTTGCAGCTACAAAGTAACAAATTTCCACGAACCAATACAAATTCCGCCATAACAGAGCTTGATTAAGTAAAATTCACACTTAAACGCTCATATCTTAGTATTCAGATATCTAAATCAAATGCTTAAGCAGCAAAAGGAGAAAAGTTCAAGCACAAGTCATCACCCAAATCTATCATTAACCACCGGATTCGATTCAATTCACAAGACCCAAAAAAAAAAACCAAT